CCGATGTGGGACTCGATCCCGGGACTCCAGGATCATGACCTGAGCCGAAGGCAGTCGCTTAACCAACTGAGCCACCCAGGCACCCCTGGAATTATTATCTTCATTAACACCATCTGAGTGTCTGGATTTTGTCTTTTCAGGATCAAAGCAAGTTGGAGAAACACCAGCATCTGGAGACTGCATAGATAGCACCCCTCGGACTCCCAATACTGTCTTTGATTTCCCACCTCCTCCCTTAGACCAAGTGCAGGAGGAGGAATGGGAAGTGGAAAGGTAATTCAGTGATATCTTTGGGGGCAGGGGAGGTTAAGAGTAGCTTCAACTGTTTCATTGTATACCATTGCCATACTTGGTAGCATTTTTCCCACATGTGGTTTTTTTGGGGGGGAGGAAGTACTAGAACTTACTGGTAGTAAATATTAGGTACTGAAATGTTTTTAGTTTATATTAAATCATTAGAATATCCAGAAGAATTATTTATTAGCCACTGTAATTTAACCCAGTTTTGAGTATCCCTGGCATAAATTTCTTTTTTTTTTTCCTTTTTACTGAAGTATAGTTGACATACAGTGTTGCTTTAGCTTCAGGTGTAGGACATAGTGATTGAACAAGTTTATACATGTTATGTTGTGCTGTCCACAGGTGTAGCTGCTGTCTGTCACCATACAACACTGTCACACCATTGGCCGTATTCCCTATGGGGTGCCTTTCATCCGCTTGACTTACACATTCCATTAACTGGAAGCCTGTACCTGCCACCGCCCTTCACCCATGTTGCCCATCCCCTCACTCCCTCCTCTCTGTCAGCCACCAGTTTGTTCTTTGTATTTATGGGTCTGGTTCTGCTTTTTTTGTTTGTTCATTTGTTTTTTTAGAGTCCACATATAAATCATATGGCTTATTCCACTTAGCCTAATACCCTCCGGGTCCATCCATGTTGTCACAAATGGCAAGATGGCATATTTTTTATGGCTGAGTAATATTCCATCGTGTAAATGTACTGTGTCTTTATTCATCTGTTGATGCACACTTAGCTTCCTCCCATACCTTGGCTATTATAAATCATGCTGTAATAAATGTAGGAGTGCATGTATCTTTTAAAATTAGTGTTTTTGTGTTCTTTGGGTAAATATCCAGTAGTGGGACCTACTAGATTGTATGGTATTTCTATTTTTAATTTTCTGAGGAACCTCCATACTGTTTTCCACAGTGACTGCACCAATTTTCAGTCCCACCAACAGCGCCCAAGGGTTCCTTTTTCTCCACATCCTGACCGACACTTGTTATTTCTTGTCTTTTTGATACTAGCCATCTGACAGGGTGATATCTCATTGTGGTTGTGATTTGCATTTCCCTGATGATTAGTGATGTTGGACATCTTTTCTTGTGTTTGTTGGCCATCTGTATGTCTTCTTTGGAAGAATGTGTGTTCAGGCCCCTTGGCATAAATTTCTTGATTACCATTTTGTTTTCATGTCGACTCTTTGTTCTCCATTGTTTCAGGGTGACTGAACATGGGACACCAAAGCCCTTTCGAAAGTGAGTAATCCTAAAGTAACTTTCAATAGAGGCATATTTTAAGAAATATATCTTTTTTCTCAAACATTCTAGTTTTAAAGGAAAAGAAAACCTGTACACAGATCTGTTAGATAGTATAAAAGAAAATTCTTAATAAACACAAATCATGCAAAACATTTATAGAGGTATATATAACACATGTAAGTCATTTTGTAGGAGAGGGTGATGTTTCAGCCCTGTGCTAAGCACTACTTCAGAAATATGACTTATCTACTGTAATATAAAAATCTGTGCCATTTCCCATTGTCCATCTGGTGTCCTCAAATAGAATTCATCATTTTTTTTCCATCAGGTTTGACAGCATAGCTTTTGGAGAAAGTCAAAGTGAGGATGAACAGTTTGAAAATGACTTAGAGACAGATCCACCCAACTGGCAACAGCTCGTTAGTCGAGAAGTGTTACTGGGACTAAAGCCTTCTGAGATCAAAAGACAGGAAGTAATTAATGGTGAGTTTAATTAGATTTTGTTGTTGTTCACATATAGTGAGTTTTATTAGACTGAAACAAGCCTCTGAGCTTTAGAGTTTGCTTCAAAATTTCTGCTAACCTTTTGTTCTATACAAAGGGAAATTAAACTGGATAGATGATCCTTGAGCTTTCCAACTCAAAAAATGCAAATGATTCTACAATTCTTAATGATAATTTAAAAGGAAAAGGTGTTTAGTTTTCAGGATTTTTAAGATTCATAGCATTATAGATCTTGAACAGTCATTAAGAGAACCTTGGTCCGTCACTTTACTTTCGTCCTAAGTTATTTTTATGCCTAGATTATAAATGAGGAAGCTCAGGCTCAGTGTGATTAGTTGAATTAATCAAGATCATACAGCTAGCTGATAAGTGATAGGGAGGAAACTGGGATCCGGGTGTCCCTTTATCCTAGTGTGCAATGTTCTTTATTTTACCCTAGCATATATGTGACGGAGATGTGGGTGACATGGGTGCTGTGCCCTCAGCTGTCTTTAGGATGCGATTTAAATAAATACCCTTCCTGTGTCTGATAACTTTGAGTTGTAGTGAAATAACAAGTCTGGCCTCAGAAATGAGGGTTTATAGGCCAATTAGATAACCAAAAGTACTGTTCTTTCTAAAGAGGGCTCAACTGAAAGGCTATGTGCTGTTTGGGCTTACAGCTTTTCTGATGTTGTAGCTGTGATTGGTGGGTAGTGTTGTGAAAAGACAGAAGGATTTTGGAGTTCATTGTTAACTTTAATATACAGAATAGTTTTGGGTTTTTTTTGGTTTTTCTTTTTAAAGATTTTCTTTATGTATTTGAGAGAGAGACAGCAGGAGTGGGGGGAGGGCCAGAGGGAGAGGGAGAAGCAGATCCTCCGCTGAGCAGGGAGCCCTGATCTGGGGCTCGATCCCAGCACCCCGGGCTCATGACCTGAGCTGAAGGCAGACGTTTAAATGACTGAGCCACCCAGGTGCCCCCAGAATAATTTTGAATATTTTTCATTTGCCAGCATTCAGCTCTTAGAGCCAGTATGTAGGAGGGTCCCATGGAATCAAGAAAGTGACATGAGAGATGCTACATCCTTTCAAAACTATAAATAATTATTATAGATCTCATTTGCTGCTTAATTCCAGCTAAAGCCTGTGTTTGGTCTCATGGAATTATTCTAATGAGGTAACATTTCATATTTCCTTTTTTTCTGCTTAGAATTATTCTACACTGAAAGAGCTCATGTTCGAACACTGAAGGTTCTTGATCAAGTATTCTATCAGCGAGTGTCTAGAGAAGGAATTCTGTCACCTTCAGAACTACGGAAAATTTTTTCAAACTTGGAAGATATTCTTCAACTTCATAGTAAGTAAATCGACTCTGATCTTTGTCCCTAACATTTTTAATAGATGAAAGATTGTGAGTATATAAAAGCACCATAACAATAAAATCTTCTAAGTGTATCCATGTTGGCATTCCTGAAATTATATAATTATACATGAGCACATACCATAAAGAAGTGATCAGATCGTTGAATACCTTCCTCCCCAGACACTCACCTGCACCATCAGCCTTTTTTATACAGTGTTACCACAGGACTTAGGGTCTGAAGTTAATGTCTATGGTGAAAAATATGAATACTGTATGGTGACTAACATAACATAATAAAAAATAAAAAAATAAATAAGTAAAATAAAAAAAAAAGAAAAATATGAATAATTAAATTTACCCTTGGAAATGTCTTATCAATTGCAGTGTAATGTTTTTAAATATATCCCATATAATTGTGTGTGTGTGTGTGTGTGTGTATATATATATATATAGTCTATGTAATATACAGTATGTAATTTCATGATGGGGTAATTTTCAGGAATTAAATTCTTTCGTTGTTGCTTGAAATGCTTGAGTAGATATATAAAAAATTCTACCTTGCTGGCTTTCCTTGGTTATAGTCACCTCAGACTTTTGTAGACACAGTTCCTCTCTCTCTAAGTCACTGCTTCTCTGTGATCCTTAATTCTCAAGCTTTCTTTTGTCAAGGATGCCATCACCACCTGCCAACACCTGCCTACCAAATTGATGCCTTTTATGTCTTTGTGGGTGATCTTAGGTTTCACCAGCATGCATTGACAAGTTCAGGTTGATTATTTCCACTGCCTGTGAACATAAACATTTTGAGAGGAACAGTGGGCAGAATCAGCTGTTCTATTTAAATTTCTTTATGAGCATGGTTATGATGGGGTCTTGAAATTAAATGCATATGTGATGTACCTATACTGTATGTAATGTGCTATTTCCACATTGTTTTATGCTTTGGCACCTGTTTTTCAGATGGAGTTCACAGATATCTGTATGCATAAGAATTGTGTTCAGATTTATATTTAAGGAGACTAGAGGCAAGCTATACTACTGTGAAAATCCTTTTTATTTTTGAAAATTTAGGTTCTCAGTACAACCAGTAATGCAGACTAAAATGAGTGCATGCTTAATTATTTTCCATTGTTTTTTTCCCCCCTTAGTTGGATTGAATGAGCAAATGAAGGCTGTTCGAAAGAGGAATGAGACCTCAGTTATTGATCAGATTGGAGAAGATTTGCTGACCTGGGTAAGGAAATTGGCTATTTCATTTTAATGTTTTTATAGATACTTAAAGATCAGATTCAAGGTTGAGTAACTAATCTTTACAAATATGCAAACTCATCCATTTTGCAAAGCTACTGTAAAGATGAAAGGGGTCCAAGTATGTATTCTCTTGGTTAGTATCTTTTTTTTTGTTAATATTTTTCAATAAGTGCTCATTCGAACTAAGTGCTCTTTTTTCATCAAAGATACTAGTTCTCTGTGTTTTAACAAATAGAGAATCAAATGAATCTTGATGAAAATAATGTAACTAACATAGAATTTTCATCTTCTGTTGTCCAAATCTCAGAATTAGACTGTAAAACATTAAACAGTTGTAGATCCTGAACTATCATCACAAAAGTAGAAAAGTGACAATTACTTGATCTTATTTACAGAATAAGGAAAGAGTTCAGAGACTATCATAGCTGTTTGTCACATTCTGTTTTTCTGTCTGAGTCTCTGTGAGAATGTACCCGACAGTATGTACACTGTTCAAGGTGCTGGGGAGACGGTGGCAATCACGACGGACATGGCTCCTGCCTGGGTGGCGCTTATAACCAGTGGGAAAACAGTCATTAGTCCTTTCAAGTGTGATAAGAGTTACAAAAAAGGGAGAGTACAGGTTGTTATGGGAAGATACAGCAGGGAGACCCACACTAGGATGTATAGAAAATTTTCCTAGGGGAAAATGGGTTTGATCCAAACTTTTAAAGAAAGTACTGTAGTTAAGGTTGTGAGTAATAGTGAAGCGTATGACATAGTTCTCCAAATATTAACACAGGTTGAACAGGAACTGTTTAGATATGCTCACAGAAACTTACTTCAGTATGGAGATTACTTGAGGAAATGCCACGGAATTTTGGTAACTGTACAATGATAACTTTTTAAAAGATTGAATACTAGAAAGTTGACTAAAACAATGTTCATCTTACTCCTTTCGTTGATGTTGAGATCATGGCTAAGAATCTACTAATCCCATAGGAGATCTTTCAGCTACTTGACTCATCGAAAAGATCAGGGAGTCACAGTCCACTCTCACCTTGCGTTTACTCAGCTTTCCATAGCATCTTCTCGAGGCCCGCTCAGGCATTATTGTTACTAAGGAGATTTAACTTCCTTGAAAAACCCAGCTTACTCTACAGCTACTCGGTGATAGTGTGGCTCATTTTGTTTCTTGATCTCAGGGTAGCAGTGAAAGTTGTAATTGAGTTCTCTTGGCTTGGCAGCACACTACTCAACTTGAAACAATTTTTTTTTTAAGATTTATCTATCCATCCTTCTTAGAGAGAGAGAGCAACAGTGTGGTGAGTGGCAGAGGGGGAGAGGGAGAATCTTGAGCAGACTCCGTGCTGAGCTTGGAGCCTGACTTGGGGCTTGATCCCAGGACCCTGAGAGCGTGACCTGACCCGAAACCAAGAGTTGGATACTCAACCAACTGAGCCACCCGGGTGTCCCTGAAACAGAAAATTTGTAGTATGACACAGTAAAGCATCAATTAGAATCCCACAGATTTTCTTCCTGGAGCAGTTAGTAACTTCTGTGAAGCTGTCAGATTCTAAGACAATCAAATGTTAATCTCAGTCTTTAAGCCTTTTGTGTCTTCTTTTCCCCTAGTGTTAACCTTTCTGTTTAATTTAGAAGTGGTCTAGACTGGAAAGGTAGTAAATTGTGGGAGGCTGTGAACAGGAAAGCATTGGAATGTGATCAGAAAAGGTCTGGATGTGTCAGCGTCTGACCTTTTTAATGGAGAAACATTGATAGTCCACAGAGATGTGTAGGTCTCCGTTTCTTGTCACTTGAGAGCACTTAGCGGAATATTGAAAGGATCGTGGTTGTCTCTCATTTTGCCTGGCCTTAGATAAGCTCAGTCTGCCATTCTTTGTTGTGTTCTTTGCATTCTTGGCACAGTTCAGTGGACCAGGGGAGGACAAGTTGAAGCACGCCGCTGCTACCTTTTGCAGTAACCAACCTTTCGCCCTGGAAATGATCAAGTCTCGTCAGAAAAAGGATTCTCGATTCCAGACCTTTGTGCAAGTGAGTTGAGTGAGTCATGTAAGAAAATAAATAGTGCAAATTTTTTATCGAATAGAGAATAAACTGGAGGAATTCTAAGACTAAGATTCTTAAAAGGCTTATGTTAACTCTTTTTTTTTTTTTTTAAAGATTTTATTATGTTAACTCTTTTTAAAGCCATACATTAGTTCTTAAATTCCTGGAGAGTATAAAGGTGATATTGGAATGGTAAATAACGAAGATTATATGTCAGGGTTAAAATACTTGACGGAGAAGTCCACCTTGCCGTGGAGATACTGTCAGGAAATGTCCCATGTAAGCTATTACAATAATATGGTCAGAACACGAGAATGGGGGGCGCGAGAATGGGCTCATAACTAGCCCAGAGAAGAGTGTGCCAACAGCCATACTTATTGAGGTCTGTATATTGGTGTCTATCAAGGGTCAGTAAACTAGGGCCCACAGTTCCTATCCAGCCTCTTCCCTGTTTTTGTGGGGTTTTATTGGAACACAGTGTAGTAAATTTTTGCCGCAGTATGACAAATTACCACAAACGTAGCAACTTAATGCAAGAGTATTATGTCACAGCGTTTGTGGAGTGGTTTAGGAGTACAGATATTGTTTGGCGGGGTCCTCCCTTCGTGCTTGCACCAGGCTGAAAGGAAGGGGTCGGCTGGAGCTGCAGTTCTCCTCTGAGACTTGGGGTCCTCTCCTAAATTCCCTGGTGGTTCACAGAATTCATGTCCTTGTAAATGTGTAACCGCGATCCCTGTCTTCTTGTCGTCATTGTCTGGAAACTGCTCTCAGCTCCTAGAGAACGCCCGTGTCCCTTTCACGTGGCCCCTACAGGTAGTTTACAAGATAAGTTTCCTTTCTCGCAGGCCAGAAGGATCGTGTCTCTCTGGCAGCTTTCTTGTAAAGGCTTCTCTGATTAAGTCAGACTCACCTAGGAAACACTTTCCTTTTTGATCACCACAAAGTTAACTGATAGTAACCTAATCATATGAGTGATAACCCATCGTGTTCACTGGTTCTGTCCACACCCTGGGGGAGGTGCTTATACAGAGTATGTCCACCAGAGAGTAGGAATCTAGAAGGCCATCTCAGAACTCTCCACTACACACAGCCACGTTCATTCATTTACGTACTGTCTGTGGCTGTTTTTGTGCTAAAACAGCAGAGCTGAGTAGTTGTAACAAAGACTGTATGGCATGCAAAGCCCCAAGTATTTATTGTCTGGCACTTTCCTCAAGTTTGCAGACCCCTGTTAGAGATGAACTGGGGTATATCCAGCCTAATGATCCATTGTACCTACTTAGAATGGCAAGTAGCAAATCAGCCGACTAACTTTTGGTAGGAATGCCAATCATAGGAATGAATATGTGAAGATAAAACTGTTTTATCACAAGCAAGCAATTCTTAGAGTTGATCATGAATGTTCTCAATTTTTGCTTAAACAGATAAGAAAGAAGCCACTGGCTTAGTGATAAAGGCTCCCTGCCCCCATTATGTGAGTAAAGGAGAAAGCAGAAGTATAGTGTGGCCATGGTATACCTCGCTTTTTTTAAGTCTTGATCTTGTAGACCCATCCATGATGACTGTATGGCACATGATGGGTAACTATAGTCCTGATAAGAATCACAAATTCACTTATTTTAATTTTAGGATGCTGAGAGTAATCCTCTGTGTCGTCGTCTGCAGCTGAAGGATATCATTCCTACCCAAATGCAGAGGCTTACGAAGTACCCTCTTCTGTTGGATAATATTGCCAAATACACAGGTACAGCATTCTCACTGAAATTAAAAAGCTTAGGAACAAAACAAAAAACCCCATGTCCTGCTAAATAATCTCTCACCGCATCCTGGTGCCCAAGGGTTCAATTTCCAGAGTCTGGCAACGTTTTCTAACAAGATCCAATCCAGTCTCCTTGAGGCTCTTTGATTTAATGTGCTCCATTAGAAGCACATTAAACACAGCATTTGGCAGCCTACGAATCGTGGACCAAATCTGGCTCATCACCTATTTTTGTAAAAAAGTCTGATTGGAACATAGTCGTGCTCATTGGTTGACAAATTGTCTCTGACTGCTTTTTGCCTACAACAAGCAGAATTAAGTAGTTGTGACGGAGAGCAGTTTAGCCCCTCAAGTGCACAATATTGGTTATCTGGCACTTTCCAGACTAAGTGCACTTTGTACAGTCCTTCATATAGCGTAGGTTGTATTTGCTTTGAAGAAGTCTTATGGTGGGTGAAGAGATGCTCTGTGTTTATACATGTACTTTAATTAAACCCGACCAATGCGTTATCACCCCAGCTCTCCTGTTTTGAACCAGGAAGTGAATCCTAGTTTCTCAGTTGAGCTTTAGGCTCTTCTACTCTGTTATCATTCATAATTTTATGCAATCAAATTCCTGTTTCTTATGCCTGAGAATTTGAAAATACTCCTACATGTTAATTTTTATACTTTGATATACCTGTTCAGTATAGGTGGACTGTTGTTCAGAGGATTGTAATTTTAAATATTCCAGTTTTGGCATTTTTTACAATGTAGGCCTCAATGTAATCTCAACACATTTTGGTAAATTTCATCTTTTAATGATACAAATGTTGTAATCTATTTTCTCTCCTTAAATGTAATCTCAAGTGGCACCTGGGTGGCTCAGTTGGTTAAGCGTCTTGCCTTCACCTCAGGTCATGATCCCGGGGTACTGGGATCGAGCCCCACATTGGGTTTCTGCTCAGAGGGGAGTCTGCTTCTCCCTCTCCCTCTACCCCTAATGCTGGCACTCTCTCTCAAATAAATAAATAAAATAAATGTAATCTCAAATTCAAAGAAACTTATTCTGGAGTTATTTTGAATTGTGTTATCATTTAAAAATTATTGCTTAACAAGTCCACTGGACATAATCACATAATCACATAGGCTCTGCACTCAGAGGAGATTCTAAGGGGAGAAGGGGTCCCATTTATATAGCTTACAATGTGAATGAGACCCGCTCCCTGGAGTGCATAACATAGGGGGGCTGATACTTGATTTAAAGCATCGCTTCTTGAACTTGGGATTCTATACAATGGCTTCTTTTTAAAGATGAGTATTTTATGTTTTAATGTACTGTCATAAGCTGTCTCATCTGTCCAAAGATTATCTGAGTTGAGATTCTGCCATAGATTTTAGCCCAGTATAAAAATATTCAAGGTTGGGTGCCTGGGTGGCTCGGTTGTTAAGCATCTCCTTTCGGCTCAAGTCATGATCCCAGGGTCCTGGGATCCAGCCCCGCATCGGGCTTCCTGCTCTCTCTCCCACTCCCCCTGCTTGTGTTCCCTCTCTCGCTGTCTCTCTCTGTCAAATAAATAAATAAAATCTTTAAAAAAAAATATTGAAGGTCTTAGTATGTTTTTGTAACTGTTGACATAAAATGATATCTCATTTACATACCTATATTTATGTTCCTTTCTGATTTCCTTTATTTTGCATTCTGGATTCCCTCCGCCCCATGCTTAGAATGGCCAATGGAAAGGGAGAAGGTGAAGAAAGCTGCAGATCACTGTCGTCAGATCTTAAATTATGTAAATCAGGCTGTCAAGGAGGCAGAAAACAAACAGGTAAGAAGGGGGAAAGCAAAGATACAGGATGATGTAGCGAGCGTATTAAGCTAGTGTTATCTGTGATTTGTGAAATGATAATTGAATTACCATTACATAATTGACAGATGGGGCATTTGGTAGCTATTCAAGTAGTTAGGTGGGTCCAGACCAGTTTTGTGGTAGAACATCAGACTTGTGTTTGGCTTTTTTGAGCATCTCTAGCTACTTGTTTGTTCTCTCATTCATCTATCCATTCAGCAGATATTTCTAGAGCATCTGTGTGCTGAGTGGATGCTGAGTGTAGGATATAGGGTGCTTAGGTAAATAAATAAGTGCACACACTGAGCTTATTTTCTAGCAGGATAGAAAGTATTGAACAGATTTTAGTGTAAGTATTTTATATGAGTTGTGATACCTGCTATGAAGGAGAATTTGGGGATGCTAGGAATATGTAATAGTGTGGGGGGGTGGGGCGAGCCTGATTTGAGGGTGTTGGGTGGTGGCTGTTGGAGAAATCTTCCTTCAGGAATTGACATTTAAGCCAAGCTCTGAAAAGTGAATGGAAATAAACCAAAAGAATGTGGAAGGGGGCAACCTTACAAGTAGAGGGAACGGCGTATGCAGAAGCCCTGGGGTAAAAAGGAAGCATGGCCTGTTTGAGGAACGGAAAGATTAGGTTAGTGTAGATCGTGCCTAAAAAGCAAAGTCAGAGTGGTGTGAAATGAGGTACAGTAGATCAGAGCCAAGTCATACAGGGCCCTACTGTGGACAATGTTAAAAGATTGATGTTGAGAGCAGTAGGAATTCATTATAGACATTTAAGAAGAGTGCGTGTTCAGATTTTTGGCCTTGTAAGTACCACTCATGCCAGTCTATGGAGAATGGGCTGAAGGGGACAGAGGGGGTGAAAGAGCTCTCAGCCTAGTCTGCTGCAGCAGTTCAGGACAGATGGTGATGGCTCAAGAGATGCAAGAATTGGAGAAGTATTTAGAAGGTAACTGATAGGATGTGGTGACTGATTTAGAGAAGGATTTGAAGAGAGATGTGACGGTAGGAATAAGTCCCAGGTCTCTGGCTTGCACATTTGGGGGGGACAGGCTGAGGGAAGAAGCCCTAGATTTGTGGGGCAGATGCAGAGTTCAGTCTGGGATATGAGGTGAAAATGTATAGTATGCATTTGGCTATCCATATAGCCATATATCCACCTCTGAGAGGACTGTGCCGAAGAGAAAAACGTAAATTGTGAGCATATATCGAACTAATTGAATCCCTGGACCTGGATATAATTTCTTAGGAACTGAGTATGACGACAGCTCTGTTGCTGAGGCTGTAGGAAAACAGGAACTTTCAAATGTGTTGTTTGGAGTGTAAAATGATAACACCCCAGGGGGCACTTGGGCAATATGTACCTAAATTAAAAATGCACATATTCATACATCTGCCCTTTGACCCAGCGATTTTGTTCCTAGTGATCTACCCAGGAGAAATGAAGATCTGTGCCCACAGACTTGTACAAGAATGTTTCTAGCATAAACCAAATGAGGTATAGTCATAAACTAGGATTATAAATTCCAGCAATAAAAGGGAATGAACTACTGATACACACAACATGGATGAATCTCACAAACATGATGCTGAGTGAAAGAAAGCAAGACGAGTGTGTGTGTGTGTATATAATTTTTTCTCTATGAACTTCCAGAACAGACTAATCAGTGATGGGAAAAAGGTCAGAAAAGTGGTTGTCACTGGGCCTGTGGGGACAGATATTAACTAGGAAGAAGCATGAGGAGACGTTCTGTGGTGATAGCAATATTTCGTATCTTGCTAGGCGTTTACACAGGTGCATGCATATGTGAAATCTTGTGGAAAGGTACACTTAAAATATATACATTTCACTGTATGTAAATTTTACTTTAAAAATAACTAAATAAATATCGAACTCTTGTTAATGATATGCACACTAAAATGTTTAAAGTGTGCTTACATTTGTAAGTTATTGTGAAATGCACCCAAAATATGTGGTGGATTGATGGATAGGTAGAGGAATGAAGAGACCTATGATAAAACAAACATATCAAATATTAACTGGAATGTAAGTGGTGGGTATATGGGCACTCACTGTACGTATTGAGACTTTTCTATATACTTCGACATTTTTATAATCTTGGGGAAAATACACATATGCTTTGGTATAATAGTTGTTTCTTTAGAAATTTATCTTACAGGTATGTCTACACGTGTCTATAAAAATATATGTTTTAAGGCCATGCTATAACAGTATTTATTTGTTATGGGAGAAGATTGGAAGTAACTTCATCTCCATCAGTAAAGTGTAGTTAGATAAACTGTAGTTCATTCACAGAGCTGAATACCATACAGTCATTTAAAGAGTGAGTTCTCTCTGTATGTGTTAATGTAGAGCAATCTCCAAGATATATTGATGAGTAATAAACACACAGAGATGTGTATGTGATCATGTTACCATTTGAGTAGTACCTATATTAATATATTATGCTACCATATCTTTTTTAAAAGGATATATATCCACACAACATGTACAGAGACAAGCATACTTATATATGCATATATTCTGTTTGCTTAGAATTTTTCTCATAGGCTACCTAAGAAACGGGTATTAGAGATTGCTTTTTTAGAGAAAATTGGGGGTGGGGAGGCAAGAGAACAGGATTGGAGGGAGACTTCATTTTCATTATGTGCCTTATATTACTTTTCAAATTTTGTACCACGTACATACTTATATATTCAAAAAATAACCATAAGCTAGTTAGAGGTCAGTGAGTTTGAAAAGCAGATTGAGCAAGAGTAGCCAAAGAGGGAAGGGGAAGACTAGGAGGGTGTGATGTCTCCAAAGCCAGGGAAAGGGGGTGGTTTAAGAAAGAGTGAGCTGTGGGGCACCTGGGTGGTGCAGTTGGTTGAGCGTCGACTCTTGGTTTTGGCTCAGGTCATGATCTCAGGGTCCTAGGATTGAGCCCCTTGTCAGGCTCCGTGCTCAGCTCAGAGTCTGCTTGAGTGTCTCTCTCCATCGCTCCACCTCCCTCCGCTCCTCCTGCCGTGTGCTCGCTCTCGAAGAAAGAAAGAGCTGTCAGTCATGTCTCGTGTTGCAGAGAGCTCTGTAAAATGCAGGTTAAAAACATCCATTTGGCTTTGGAACAGGGAGACCATCGATACCCAAAGCAGTAACCTTGGCTCCATCTCGTCTTAATTTTCAGCGTTTAGAAGACTATCAACGTCGTCTGGATACCTCCAATCTGAAGTTGTCAGAGTACCCAAACGTGGAAGAGCTCAGGGTGAGAGATGGTCTAACCATAATTAAAAAAATAATAAAATACAATTTACTAAAGACCTGGCAGGGTATTAACATCTCAGAGGGGCATCCATCACCTGAAGAAGTTCTTATATCATAGATTGTCTATATTTATGATTCTGTTCTTCCTTTTCAACGTCTGGTCTGTGTGAAGATGACTTTAGTCTTTCATTAGAGGAATATTTTGTGTAAAACTAACTTTATATAACAATTTGTGGGGGACTTAAGGAGCGTTAGTTATTTAATTTTATTGTGTTCTCATAGTGTGAATGAGAGTAGGGGTGTTTGCTGTGGAAACTTTCCAGATTATTGAGTAGAACAAGATAATGTTTTCATGAAGCTCTTCAAAAGCAGAAATGTTGAAACCATTACAGGAATGATAGTAAAGTATTTTGTAATTGCCATTTCTATCATGTGGGGCTCTTGTATTAAGGAACTGCTTGGGATTTTCAGTCTTTCTTGTACTGTTTCAGTAGGTGGTGGTTTGAGTAGATTTATTTGGTGGCTAGTAAACTAGACTTTTATATCATATATAGCAGCTTATCAAAAGCATGCTTAATATGCTCAGTACCTTCACTTCCAGAGAATGAGATTTTTCTAGAGCTACCTATACTGAGAGATGATTCTCTTACTAAATTATTAGTATTTAGGGGTGCCTGGGTGGTTCATTTGGTTAAGTGTCCAACTCTTGGTTTTAGCTCAGGTCATGATCTCAGGGTCCCAGGATCAAGTCCCACATGGGGCTCCATGCTCAGCGAGGAGTCTATTTGGGTTTCTATCTCTCCTTCACCCGCTGCTCCTCCCCTCCAAATAAATAAATAAATCTTTAAGAAAATAATTAATATATGGAGCAAGGTCAAGTACTACCTGGACTTTTTCATGAGTACTATTCCTTAGAACTTTGTAACTAGAGCCTGGCGCTCATAGGCCTCTTACATAGATAACCTATGCATTATCCTCATCTAGTTATTCATAGAAAAATTAGGGGATGGGCTGCAAATCCAGTGGCTGAATGTTTGTAACTTCATTTTCATAAGCAATTATCATCTATTTAGTGTGAGATTTAGGAGGCAGCACTCCTGAATGTTTTTCTACAAGATACCTCTAACTTAGGATATTGGATGCAGTTTACTGTAACTTAGTCTTTATTCTATGTTCAGTAGTTGGCAGATACCAATAATGATAGTGAAGGTAAATGGTATCTTTTATATGAGGAATTTCTTGAAAAGAGACTCTCTGGAATACCATCACACTAAGTGCTTGGAAATAATTTGTGTGTAATTCTCTTTATTTTGGCAGAATTTGGATTTAACAAAAAGGAAGATGATCCATGAAGGGCCATTGGTCTGGAAGGTGAATCGAGATAAAACTATTGGTAGGTGTAATGTCCGTCAGTTTTGGGGAAAGTGGAGGAAGTAAAGTTCCCTCGGGCAGAAGATAAGAGACAGCCATTTACGGGTTTCAGTGACAGCAGTGAGCAGTGCTGCTCTGTGTTATTTTTGCAGAAGATCTGCTTATGTGATTTTGTTCTAGGTGAAGTGCGTTAAATATTCACCGAGGGCTGAAGCAGAAAAGTTTGTCATGATTCAGTCCTGTCTCCAGCATTCATGTATTCCAGTGAGCTTCCTAATAGGCTTTCTTTAAACCACTCCATTTCAAACTATCTGTGATGAGGAATCATTGGGTTTTTTTTTTAATTTCTTGTCAGTCACAGACTGACACTTTGGTGTGATACAATATAAAAATGAATTATTAAAAAATGAAACTAAAAAAGACAATAGCAAGTCAATTTTTAAAGGGTATTAGATTTAACAGAAATAAATTTTCTCTGTCAAATTGTTACAAAGTTTATAAAACACATCTCAATTTCTGCGCTAATCACCTTCTCCCCACTTTGGTTTCTAGATCTATACACATTGCTGCTCGAAGACATTCTTGTATTATTACAAAAGCAGGATGACAGACTGGTGTTAAGATGTCATAGTAAGATTCTGGCGTCTACCGCCGATAGCAAACACACATTTAGCCCTGTCATTAAGTTGAATACAGTGTTGGTTCGACAAGTGGCAACAGGCAAGTATGTCCGCAGAGTGACAGTAACCCTCAGGTTCATCATAAAGTTGCACAAGATATTCGGTATTGTTCAAATAGCCTGACTAGTATAGAGTTTTGTTTCTTTGTATTCTTAGACAAGTGACATGAAATGTATTTACTGCTTAGAAAGTAAATTAAGAGTTTATACCCCCAAATTACTTGAGAAGCCTAGGTTCCTCTGAGCAGTTTTCTGCACTGGAAAATTTCTTGCACGCTACTTTGATCTTTATTCCATGTTCAAATCATAGACACCAAGGAACATGGTGCATTGAGAGGTAATCCCAATGAAAAGGCTTTCCTTAGAGTGATATGCTCTTTGACTTGTGATAAAAGAGCAAACAAACAAAAATGGAGAGGTGGGTGTAGCTTGGGATTTTTGAAATCAGTTTAAGTTAGTAAATTATATATTAACTGTGGTAACAGTGGAGTCCCTTTTAAAACTTGTTAGTTCTGTAACAGCAAGATAAACTGGTGATCTCTTTTCTCTACCATTTATTGAATATTATTAAGTAACTGTTTAGCAAAAAGGCAATTCAAAATAAATGCAAAAACATCCTAGTGTTCAGTCATTCAGATATATGGACACCTCCTTGTTTCTACGGAGTTACTGTGGAATGCCTGCTAGTTTTTATGATCTTGGTTTTGTTGAAGTATAGTATATACAATGTAACGTACAATAAGTCACACAAATTTAAGTGTATAGCTTGATGAATTTCTACAAAGTGAGCCCATTAACCTTTACCCAGATTAAGGTGCATAATGAACCGGGACCCTAGAAGCATCATCCTTCATGGCCTTTGTAGGTCATATTCATGTTGTTAGAGTAATTTCTGTCTTCTTTCTTCCAGATAACAAAGCTTTATTTGTCATCTCCATGTCAGACAACGGAGCCCAAATTTATGAACTGGTGGCACAGACCGTTTCTGAAAAGACCGTGTATGTATTGGATAGTGCTACCTTTCTCTAATAGTTTTTATTATCCTGACCATATTATTCTATCAACTTAACTTGGTTTTTATAATAGGACTTTGAAAACCAAAAACTACTTTGAAACAAGCACTTCTGTTTTCTTTTTGAGATGTTTTTCTAAGAACGTGTTCCTTTTTAGATTGATGTCCCATATTTTGATTCTATACTACTGAAAGTATCTTTTCTAAAGAAAAATTCTCAGAAGTGCCAAGTGAAGTTTTTTAATGCGAAGTGTATCCATAATGTTGCTTGTTAGCTTTTTCTTTAAGGTACAGCTGTTTTTTATAATCTCTACTTACGTTGACAAAATAAAGACACTCTCTGGCGGAAGTAGGGTTTTTTTGTTGGATTGGCTTGCTTTGGTTTCTGGTTTGTTTTTGTTATTATTTCTTTCTGAGTGTATTTAAAGGGCATTTTTTTTTCCTTTCCCTTTTGGATTTTGGATCCTTTTTACGCTTCCTGCAGCTGGCAAGACCTCATCTGTCGGATGGCTGCATCCGTGAAGGAACAGTCCGCAAAGCCAATCCCATTGCCACAGTCACCACCTTGCGAGTGAGTGTGCCTCTGCATCATTGTCTGACTGACTCTGGGCTTTGGTCAGGAAGGGAATGGATGATTCTTACATTTCGTTGCAGTGATGTTTAGGCACCTCATGAAGCTGAAAGGTTGTTTTCCTTCTTCCACAGAGGAGAAAACGATGAAGAAGCAGCTCCAAAGTTAAAAGTGGAACATCACAGCATTTCGGTCCCTGGTCTACAGAGTCCAGGTAAACTGATCTGTTAGGTTAACCTGGAAGAATGTAGTGTATGTGTTACTTGTGAAAAGGCAAAGAAACTTGAAGTCTTTTGATTTATGCAGATTCTCGCATCAGCTGTTTACTTTCACAAACTTCGCTTATGAGCCTTCTGTGTGCCCTGGGTAACAGTGTTCTAAGTGCCGTGTATTTTACTTAACAGCCGATGATCTCTGTACTCGTGGTTATTTTTGTTCCAAGTATTTCCTGAATGCCTTGCGTTAAAAGTTAAAAGTTTTGTTTAAGATCTATTCTGCTTTTTCTGTTCCATTGAACAGACAGAGATTTGGGATTAGAGTCTCCCTTAATATCGTCAAAACCTCAGTCTCATTCACTCGGTACCTCTGGGAAATCCGAGGTAGATGATCTGTTTGTGGCTGAGAGACAGTTTGCTAAGGAGCAGCATGCAGATGGGACTCTGCAGGAAGCTGGAGCAAGTTATCAGATCACAGCCCCAGACCCACACTTGCCTGCCTCAGAAGAACGGTGGGCATTGGATGCACTGAGGAACTGTAAGTGTTATTCATAAGTTAACACAGACACTTGCGAAGTACCAGGGTTGTGTCGTGTACTGTGCAGCCACTTAGGGAGAATCCAGAGAAGTGGGAACTCTGACCTCTCTCAAAGAATTTTACCATCTAGTTGGGAAGATGATAGAAAACCTCCCACTTTTTTTAAAGTAACCAGTACAGGTATGTCAGAATTGATCTGGTTGTGGTGACCGGAGAGGGAATCGTCAGGAGACAAGAGGGAGGTGATTATTGCCTTGAAGAATGGGTATGTAGAGAATATGTGGGTAAGAATCATGGTAGGACTGGAAGTGCAGAGGCAGGAGGCCCCGAGGGTGCTCCGAGAGCCGCGAGCAGACCATGTTAGTGCAGGTGTGGGAGAGAAGCTTGGCAAGGAAGGAGACGGGTTCTGAGGCCAGCTGCTGTGAACCTTGAACACCACAGTGAGTCCTCTGGATTTTAAGGATGGCATAGCACACAGGGCACCTGGGTGGCTCAGTCGGTCAAGGGTCCCACTCTTGATTTCAGCTCAGGTCATCATCTCAGGCTCGTGAGGTTGAGCTCCATATCGGGCTCTGCACTGGGCATGGAGCCTGCTTAAGATCTCTCTCTCTCTCTCTCCCTCTCTCTCCCTCTCTCCCACTCCCTCCCCTCCCTCCCTCTCTC